AATTTTCCAATTATCCTATTAATTTTGTCAGCTTTCGACAATTACTGTATGAGATTGGGCATTAAGGTGGAGCATCAAGTACCTTATGTACGCACCCAAAATGGTTTAGCTACTTACACGAGTTAAAATTATTGCAATAGTCTAGTTTGCTGGGTACTTAATGGGGAAATGCAGTATTACATGCATCTGATATACTTTTACTCCGGCTCACTACATATCTTATTCCCCCATACACCTAATATGTGTTTTTCAAATTAAACATTTCCCAATCTGTGTTTCTATTTTTACATATGCAATCCATTCTATTGTATCACCACCATAGCATATCTCTCAACCTCCATCTATTGTATCAATATTTAGAGTCTAGAGAGGGACTCAATGGATATATACATTGATTGCATGAAGATCGATTCACGGCATTAGGGGGAGATATGATCAAATTTAATGCCGAGAAATTTCATGGAATGAAATGGTCTTCAAAACAATTAAATCCACGTATCAATTAGACTGAATTGGAAGTTCAGAAGGAAATCAAACGTATCAATTAGACTGAATTGGAAGTTCAGAAGGAAATCAAACATATCTGCCAAACATATCTATTTAATAAAAGACTAATTAGGTCCCATAAACATTCCTTAAAATTGAACCATATATATATCCTCTGATTCTCATTGGCACCAAAAATGCAGGAGATTCATTGATAAAGAAAAATAAGAATCCACAGCAACTAGATCAAGTAAAGAATTTTCATCACTCTTGAATTCGTCCAGAAGACGAGAAAACCCAATAAATCTATAGGTGCACCAAATAAGCATAATAGTGGGATGCGGAACAACCAAATATAAATACCTTTGAGAAATGACTAGAATCTGGTTGACTTAGAAATTACCATGAACCTTTATATATGGGAGAAATTATTGAAAATATTATAATAAATTGTCGACAACACAATTGCCTTCGAATTGCTCATATTATATGACAATCTAGATCCCACTAGGCGCCAGAAACGCCCTGATTAGTTAACGTATAAAAAGAGCAATTAAGGCATTTATAGCTCAACTCACTGATAAATATATTTCTTTTGTACACCATTGAAGTGTAAACTATGTAGGTGTAAAATGGGTGTTTGTATGAAAGAGAAGCAAAAATGATGAGGTGGTGTGATATAAAGCGAGTCTGCAGCCTAAGGGTCCACGCAGAGACCCATAATCAAATATACTCTCTCATAATGAATATCATTAAGTTCCACTACATAACTGACAAAATAATAATAAACTTAGATATGCAGCTGATTAAAGTCATAACCATAAAATTATGGGTCGTTGGACACTAATGTTTATTTGAAAAATCCTTGATGGATTTATAATTCTCATAATGAAAGAAAGTAAATATCACAATATGTTTGTTGTTGAAGTACAAAGGCTTTACTTAACTTAAAATAGTAAAACAATTGACTGAGTGATTTCCTCATGAAGTATGAAAATGTAGAAATGAATATGTACCATTAGGTACTTATTAAAAGGCTACTAATAGAGTTATTTATTTACTATCTCAGTCTATATTGGTGTTATGAACATCATTAAAACACATAAAGAGTTCAATGATATTAGCTAATTTCTAAAGACGGATTTTGGAAATTAAGGACTTAGAAAACCAAATAATATCCCGACCTGCATGTAGAGTATTTCCTTGAAAGGAATTTTAACCAATTAGTCTATTTTGAAAAAATGTCTTTAACGCATTTTTTATGGATAAGTATCATTGGCTTATCACACTAACAGCTGTCCAATAATCTCTTGAAGTAGATAAAAGATCATTTAGACTCAAATAAGATAATGAGGACATTTTTAAGACTGGAAGTCCATTACTTCATTACTATTGTAGCACTATTATAGAATCAGAAATTTCATGATTGCATTAGGACTGACACTGTCCTTACTAATAATACCTAGTGCTCATCCTATAATCAAATATTGGAATAATATTCGAAAATCCTCTCGTATCTTTGATTTATTTATAAAAGATTTTGCAATTTATACGTGTATTCATAGACCACTTGGGTATTGACTCTTTTCGATTCTCATGATGCCAAATCCAAACTAGTTATGTTTAATTTGTTTTACCTCCACTATCTTATGTGAGGATAATAAAGTTTGTCTTATAAGTGGGTATGTTTAAAGACAAGTTATATATAAATATTCAACCCACGTAAGCTCCAGAAGAGTCATGAGATTATTATATAAAATGATAAACTCTAGTGACAATCCTGAAGATTGTACCATATCCCTTCTCTACACACTTTTGAAACAATGACTTTACTTTAAGCCATGTAGAACTTGAAGATTGTTATCTTCAGGGGGAGACTGGAAGTACATTTACTCGAATCAATCTTGAAGATTGGGTCTTAAAAAACTAACAGTTGTACTTTTTGCAACATATGAATGCATCTTCATGTACTACTTTCCTCACTAGGTTTTTATAGTGTGGTTTTTAACGATGCATGAGTATGATATAGTAATGTCAATGTGGGAAAAGCTGCAAATAAATACTTAAATAGACAATCTCAAAATCTTGGAGATTATGCCCTGAAGGCTTATGGTTGTACTATTTTCCTTAACTAAGTTTTTTTTTTTTCCACAGGATTTTTCGATAAGGTTTTTAATGAGGCAACTCAAACAATACATGAATTACCCATATATCATGTATTCTTTTCTCGACTAGATTTTTCCCACAGGATTTTTCTAGCGAGTTTTTAACGAGGCATGATTATAAAAAAATAATGTCTAAGAGGGAGTGTTATAAATATTATCATTATGTGAACATTATTATGTAACAATCGTACTTATGTCTCTATTTATGTTTTCTGTTACGATTTGTAATTATATATATCCTATGTAATTTGTACAAGAATATGTTGTTGGAATAAAAGATTAACATTTTTAACAGTACACACCTTGTCTCTTTTCTTTCCCTACATTTTGTCTCTCTCGTTTGCCATATGTTAATTCGTTTCACTGAGGAGCGCTGCAAGCTAAATAGAGCAATTCACAATGGGTTAAAGGAGGAATCAATTACAACAAATATTACATTTATTCGATTGTATTGAATTCTTAATTTCTTATTCTTATTACCGTTATTTTAATTGGATGACTATGAATCAAATGAGCTGTACAATAATTAAGTAAAAGGAAACATTAAATAGAAATGAATAAAAAGAAACATTAAATAGAAATAAATAGGTGATTTTTTTAGTTATACTACTGTATATTTATATTTATTCTTTAACTTTTTTTTTTTGAAATACTCATATTCTTTACAAGATAGTATATATTCTATACTTTCAGTCCAAAGAATTAATAACCCACCACTAAAATTTGATCCTGTGACCATCCATTTAAAATAGTAACAGATGTGTCATCACGCTACACTTGACCTTATCTTACTTTTTAGTTTGTTAGATTGATGATTGATAATTGATTTTAGAGGGCAATTCACTTTTCTTTTTTCTTTTCCCTTTCATTCAATGAATGCAAGCCATACAATAAGAGTAATATTCCTTATAAACATACTTAAAAAGAAAAAAAAAAACATTTTCTAAATTTTTTAATAGGGAAAATGACATTGTTAGCCCTCAAATCATACCATAATTATTAACTTAGCCCTTAAATTATTTTTGGGTTAATATCCAAAATCGTCCTCGACTATAGTGGTTTTTCTCAATTTCATCCTAAACGACTTTGGTGACCTAATATCGTCCCAGACTTTTGTGTTTCGCTCAATTTAGTCCTCCATTTGTTATTCCGTCAAATTGGTGTTAAATTAAGGGACAATTCAGTAATGTTAATATTGATCTCTCTTTACTTTCAACTTGTGAAGTGCGAAATTCCTCTTTCTTGTACGAATTACACCCAGAATTACTCCCGGACCTGCAAATCAAATTTTATATTCGCAGTTTTAGGAGTAATTCATAAAAAAAAAAAAAAAAGGATTTCGCAGTTCACATGTCTATGAGTAAAGAGATGCCAATATTAAAATTACTGAATTGTCTATTTATTTAACACCAAATGGACAGAATAACAAATGAGGGACTAAATTGAGTAAAAATACAAAAGTCTAGGACTAAATTGAGCGAAACACAAAAGTCTGGGACGATATTAGGTCACCAAAGTCGTTTAGGACGAAATTGAGAAAAACCACTATAGTCGAGGACGATTTTGGGTATTAACTCAATTATTTTTATAGCCAATTTTCACCCTTTAATTGTTTCACTGATGACTCTTTTCACCCAACATTCATGGAAATGATGGAATGCTCAATAAACAAATGAAATATTTTCTAAATTTAAAATTTGAGGGTTAAACTTGTAATTAATTTCTCTTTCCATAATTTAATTTTTCTAATCAGTAATTTTATACGATATCGTTTTATGCCATCTTAAATTATAAACAAAAGAACTACAAACAAGATGAAATAAATTGGTTGTGTATAAACTTGATTTAGGAGGTATATCAAGTCACGTATTTTCTTCAATGTCATATGAGATTAGTTGTCAAATTTATGAACTTTTTCACTAATTTTTTTTTTTTTTAGAATAAACTACTCTACTAGTCAGTTGTGGGGAGGAAAGTAGAATTAGAGTAAGTGAAATTACAAGTTTAACCTTATAATTTTAAGTTTAATAATTTTGTTTATTGAAATACTCCATGAAGGTTTGTGAAAAGAGTCAAAAAAAAATTTTAATTAAAGGTAAAAAGTGATTATAAAAAGAAATCAAGAATTAACTGAATAATAATTATGATATAATTTAAGGATTTTCGATTTATAATAAAACTTAAATTTTATTCCAAAATGGTTGTTTTCCAAACTGAAACGCACGCAATTAATACATGTCTTTAATGGACGTTTCCCCGCTTTGCATCATATCATTACAACTACTACAATGATACAGAAAAAGGAAACTTTGAAGAGAAAATAAAAATAAAAATAAAAATAAACATACATAAAAGAGAATTAAATCCTAGGTTTTGGATCTCTTGACTTCTCTGTCTCTCTGTCTGTCTGTTTGTTTATTCCCAGAGGGCCTGCGTTCTTCTGCCGTCTCCATTCCCTTCCGGTTTCATACCGAAACTAAGGCGAAAATGGTAAAATCAATTCTCTCTCTCTCTTTCTCCGAATTTTTGCATAAACTTTTTGTCTCCAGTTCAATTTTCCATTGGATTTGTTTCCTAGTCATCTTTTTTTAGCCATTCTTCTATCTATAAATATACTTGAAAATTTTTATCATGTTGATCGGTGCCGATTTTTCTATAGTATATCGGTTTGGTTATCCTCTATGATATTCAATACAATCTAAAAATATATTCGGTACAAAAATCGTCCTTATACTAATCTCAGTAATTTTTTATTTTAAATTTATGAGAATATTCATCTACGATCATAGTAACACTTAGGAAAAGCATATCAGATCACATTTTTTTGTTTTCTTTAGTGTTGTTTGGGAGAGGAAAATTGATGCTGTGAATAATCTGAATACAACATTTCGAATTTTTAACTTTTAATTTGTAACTTTTGTGACAAAAAGATAAGATCGCATACCTTAGCGCCTCCAATTTAATTTGTAACTCCTTTTACTCTATGGTGTTTGTCAAAATATTTGCGATTGCATGTAGGGCCATCACATTAATTTATTTTATTTTGGTTGGAATGGGACCAGATTGTCATTGTAGAACTGGCTGACAATATTCGATGTTCAGTGTTATTCTCTATTCCTTCACACAAATTATAAAGTATTTGGGTAATCTCATGTAATTTGATCAGATTATTTACTTTTTTTTTTTGAAAACATAAAAATATTTACTTGGTAATTACAAAATTACAAATTTTACTCTGACCAATTATGGGCAACTTTGATTAATTTACTTGTGGTCCTTTACTTACTAGAGTCATAGGACAAGATTTATCTCGTCCACGTACACCTTAGATTAGTGATTACAGATTTTCCTCATTACTCAAATTATAAATTATTTAGTATTTTTTAAATATATAGAGTTCTTTTTTTTTTTTTTGGAGTAACTAAAATATAGGCATTGTGTTTAGTATGTATCCGGGACATTCTTGATTTTGATCATGATTTCGTTTGTTAGGTTTGGGGACAAAATCATTCCCATCTCCACCTTGTAGAGCTAATCCATGGATGGAGACAAGGATTATCCATTTCCGTAGAGTTTTTTTTATTTTTTTATTTTTTTTTTTACTATTATATATTCATACGTACTATATCAAAATTAAAACTTAAAGATTTTGAATAAGGAGAAGGGTATGGTTCTTGTTTTCATCGGTGATTAAAAAATTCCGACACCCCGTTGTATTTTTTTTTTTTTTTTAATTTCATCCCAATCTTAGAGCGTTTGGTTGGGAGGAGGGAATTAGAGGGAAGAAATTGTAATTTTGTGAGAAAAGAATAGGAGAATAAAGTAGAAATTTAAATACTAAGAACTTTGTGGTTCGATGGTACTAGGTGGGAGGTGATGGGTTTGAGTCTTAGTGGAGGCATATTAGCTTGTATGTTTAGGTATCCCCTTTCCTTATAAAAAAAATGTCCTTATGTAATAATGAAGAATAATTTTGTCAATTTTCTCCCTTTTTTTTATCTTTCTAATTTCATGAAATTACAATTCCTTTCAATTAAACAATAGAGTTTTGATGACCAAACAATTCCATTGAAAAGGAATTGTAACTACTGCGTATCAAACAGGCCATTCATTGTTTATGAACAGATACTACAATGTAATAGAGCCAGTAGCTTTCAAAAAAAAAAAAGAAAACAGGCCATTCATTGTTTCAAATGCAATTAAGATGCTAAAAAGGTGTACCTCTTATTTTACACCCGGAGTAATATATTACTTGAAGCTGCAAATTATGTTGTGGAACTGTGTCTACCTTACAAAGTAGATACGGCTTTAAAACTGTTCATAATTATAAATATATAGTTCAAAAATTATGAATATATAGTTTTATAATTATGAACATAAAGTTGTGAACATAATTATGAACATATAGTTCTATAATTATGAATATAGAGATTCAATAATTGTGAATATAAAGTTCAAAAATTATGAATATATAGTTTTATAATTATGAACATATAATTCAATAATTATGAACATAGAGTTATGTTATTATGAATATGGAGTTCAAAAATTATGAATATATATCTTTATAATTATGAACATATAGTTCAGTAATTATGAACATAAAATCGTGCCCACCTTACAAGGTGGACACGATTCCACAGCATAACGATTCACTTGAAGCACATTGGGTTGTGGGGGGTAAGGTAGGAAAATAATAGTAATATACTTTTGGGTCCAAATTGAGATTATTTGCATGTGTATTGAAACAAAGTTATGATTTGCTCTTCATGCATAATGCATTCGTCTTCTTGTAAAGAACCAAGTTGATTAGAAAGTTAATTTTGTTGGTTATTGGTCTTTTTAATTTAAGTCTTTCTTGTAAATTTCTTTTGTAAATTTAAAAAGAAATGATTATTGTGCAGACAACCTCAAAACGGCTTGCAGATAGAAAAATAGCGAAGTTTGAGAAAAACATAACGAAGAGAGGGTTGAATCCTCTGTCATCAAGGAAGGGATTCGAGCCTACCCGTATCATTATCATCCTCTTTGCTGTCTTGGTCATCGCCTCATGTAAGTCATATTTGATAACGTAGTTAGTTTATCAGTCAATTTTAACTTATTTAATAACTATTAACTGTTTGATTTGATTAAATATTCAATATAAGTGTTCGATTAATTAGCTTTTATAACAATTTATTGTTCTAAAATGCTAAAATTCAAAAAGCTGCTTTGAATTTGCTCAAAACAGCTTTTTCAATAAGATTTTTGAGAAAGTCATTTTGCATATAGGCCCTGTTAACTGATTGTGTTAATTATAGGGTATAAATAGTTGATAACATTAGCTGATTGTAGAAAAGTGTTTCGTAAATTAGCTATTAGCTGATAGCTGTTTGGTATAATTTCTTTTCTCAAAAAGTTAATTGAAAAAGTTGTTTGGAGTAGCTTTTTGAATTTTAGCATTTTGGAGTTCCAAAATGCTAATTAACCAAACATTTATATTGATATTTTGACTAAATCAAACAATTAATAGTGGTCAAATAAGCCAAAGTTGGTCTATAAGCCAATTTTTTACCAAACATGACTGTAATCCACTATCAGTTAACAACTAAGTTATCAAAAATGCTATCAACTACTCAAATCCACTAACTCAATCAGCTAACATCTATTTACCAATCAACCCAAAAGTTTTTCTTCCAATTTTCTTTTTTCATACATTTTTTCTATTTTTTAGGATTAAAATTAAATTCTAGTTTGTCTTTGATGCAGTTGTTTTCCAGGTGGTGAGGCTGGCGCTCAGCGGTGGGGACTGAACAATATGGGACTTCTCCTTTAGCTCAAGAATATGTACTCTCTAATTCACAACTATATAAACATATTTCAGTGCCTTTTGTAGCTTTGTTGCTCTTGGCAATTATTCCAAACAATAAAAAGAAATATAGTTTTATTTTATCTTAAAGAAAAATGTGTCAAACAAATCCGTGAACTTATACATTTTATGAAATTAGGTTATTGAACTTAAAACATATATATAGAATAGAAACAGTTTCCCTTTCCTTTACTATGTTAGTTAGGATAAAAGATTGAAATATTATTAACTCAAATTATGTTGAAATTTTTTTAAAAAAATATTTTAATTGTACATATTTTACTTGTTTAATTGTTCAATTATATATATTTTTCTTATTTAATAATTCAACCAGTACTCCACTCGTGCGATGCACGGACAAAGTTTATTGGAAAAATGGTCAAATATACCCTCGAGCTTTACACAAAAAGTCAATTAGGCCATCAAACTTTTAGAAGTTGCAATTAAAAATATCGACATATTATTAGGAAAATGGTCATACGTATATAATGTACATTATGTGTTAGAATAATATACATTACGTGTTAGAATAATGTACATTGTGTGTTAAAATATTGTACATTACGTGTTAGAATAATGAAATATTTTGAGTAATATAATGTACATTATGCTTTAGAATAATGTACATTATACTTTAGAATAATGTACTGTTTTAGAATAATGTACATTGTGAGTTATAAATATATATGTTGCAGCTAGACATGCAAAAAAAAAAAGTAAAACGACGATGTTTTTTTACTGTGGTCCACATAGTTGTAGACCACGGTCCACACAATAACTATTGATAAATTGCCATCTAAGACTCTAGCATACTTTGTTTTAAGTAATACATCCATTTTTTGGTAGAATAAAGTGTTTGAACTAACACATCTCATTGTCTAACTTAAAAAGTCATTCAAGTGAGAACGGGTCGCCCAGGAAAGAACTAAGAACCACTTGCCATTCACATATCCCAATCTAATGAATTAGAAACACTGATTTTTTTAAAAAAATATGATGACATTTTCATAAATAATTAAACATCAAAGTGTAAATAACAATTTCATATAATACACCAAAATACAAATAAAATGTATTACAAGTGCAAGTAAAATATACACTAAGCATCAATATCAAGTGCACCTAGCGTTATCATTACTTGCACCAAACATTATCTTTAAGTGCATCTATGTGAAAGAGTTTATCATTATGTGCACAAACGTTAATGAGATAAAATTACTTACACTTGTAAGTGATTTTTACTTGCACTATTTTACTTACAAACTTGCACAAATTACTTACACTTGTAACATATTTTACTTGAACCAAAGTTCAAATTATTTATAAAAATGTCACCGCATCGTTTTTTAAATTACATCTGATTCATTAAATCTAAACATGTGAACAATTACGATTAGTTCTTAGTTCTCTCCTGAACCCTCGTTCTCACTTGAGCGTGCTCCGTTTAACTTATACATCAAATAAAACTAAAACTTTATTACTTATTGGTGAGACAAATAAAAAGGAGCAATGAACCAATCAAAATTTAGCCCGTCAAGTAAAATTTGTCTGGCTAACTTACCAAACACGACTTAAACCAAAACGCACGGACTATTTTAGGGGCCAAAAATTATTGACCTGACTGAAGTAAATGAACACAGAGAGACGTGCATGTAACACAAACAAAGAGACCATTGGTCTGAACTCTGGCATTTGAGATTCAGGGAAGAAGATCGAACAGAATTTGGAGATAATTATTGTGCAGCTGCTTTTTACATGTAGGTTCTCTTTCATATGATCACAACTCATTTGTTCCCTGACTTTGAACATTGGCAACAATCTGAGCTTTTTGACAGCTTCCTTGCACAAGAACTGAAGCTAATAGTGCTATGCAAATCTTGATCATCTGGGACATCAAATGTATCAAATTCCTGCAAGAAAAATAAAATAAAAGCTAAGATAGAGGGTATACTAAAATGGTTTTGAACTTTGTCATGAACAAGATCCAGAACCTTATTCTATCAACCAGCAATTCAACAAATGAAGCATTCACTGGCAAGATTTTGTTTTGACACTTACCTTGGACTTCGTCTTGTCGTAAGGTGTTAAACAAGGGTTTAGATCTTTGAGAAACATATCATCAGGGCTCTCTGGTGTTGCATTATCTTCAGAACTAAAATCCTGAAGTGGTCATACATGAAACATAGAACTCAAATTTTAAACCCAAAAAAAAAATAAGTGCTATAATGTCAAAATTTCTTGTGTAATCACTTCATTAAACACAAAAATTGCTACCAATTCAAAATAAATTCATTTAAATCAAATGTAATCACTAGCTGTAATTATCCATTTGCACCGAAAATTTGTATTAATTTAGATGTCTTTACCAGAGAATTTGCTGCCTCTCTATGATCATATTCAGGTGTTCGTGGAGAACTAATGCAACTATCATAGAACCCTCTCATTGAGTATTTATCTGCTTTGACCTGTAAAAAAAACATAATCAGCAAATGCAAAGAGAAAACCTTATTGCTACTCTTACCAGTCTAAGAATTAAAATATCACACCAGAAACATGTATTCATACCTTGTGATATACAAAGTAATTGTTTTTCATGGCAGTGAAGGAGCCATGTAATGAGAAAACATTGAAAAAATTATGTCTCTATTAAATCCTTAAAGTACCTATTAAGTAAAAGAACCTAAAACAACACCAAAGACACATCATTCACTAATTTCCTTGGAATTTATTATACCATTAATCGTGCAGCTGAAAATTGCTGCTTAGGAAACTGAGCATTACTGTGTAAATCTGGAAAGCAACAGAATTTCCCTTACAAATTTAGAGCCCAAATGCCCAATTGACAAAAAACCATCTTTGCAAGATGATGAAACAAAATTGTTCAATTATTCGGCATTAGTGAAGGCTAGACTGCACAACTAGGTAGTTCAAAGATTTAGCTAAAGCTATTTATGCCACTTCCTCAAAGGCCAAGAGTTTCTAAGAACCAATTAAACAGAACCGTTTATACACAATGCAGAATAAATGCAAGTTTAACTGGTCGCAGAGGTGAAATATGTCACAAGAATATAATAAATGCATGTGTAAATTAATTAATGATTCTGTTTATCAATATAAGGTAATTCAAGCAAAAGTAATTATATGTAAGATTGTAAGTACTACCTCTGCAAAATCTTCTGCGAGGTATTGCAGCTGGTCAGTAAGAGATGTGACCTGCCTTTGCAGATTAGGTATAAGTTGTCTAGCCTGCTTGAGTTCTGAAGTCTGCTTCTCCATAAGTTCCTGTAGTTGTGAATTCATAACATCTGGGAAAAGAACGACACTCTTCAGTGACTTGATCTCCTCCCTTTGCTTCAAGCACAAATCTTTCAACTTATCTACCTACAATTAATTGTACACAATTTAGTGAGAAGGTTGTACTAGACTACTAGTTCTGATGGTATATGCTAAAAGTTCATTAAACAAAATAAAATCAAACAACCATCCCAAACAGGCAAGTTAGAAAGAAAAAAGGGATCTAACTTTTAAAATGCAGATTCTAAAAGCTAATCAAACATGAACTAAATAGAAAAGGCAAGGGATCTAACTTTTCTATATGTCCTTTCAAGTGATTCATAAACCTTTCAACTAATACTAGCATAGAACCCAATGCTTGGAATCCCAAAAATCATATTCAAATTTGAGCTGCCCTAATATGAAATCCAAAAGGAAAATCAAGTGAATATATACAAACATTTTGTGTGCAATACCTCTTTGTTTTTCTCCTCAAGCAACAACTTGAGCTCAGTAATCTGGTTCTCCTGCTCCTGGTTCATACTCAATAGCTCCCTCTCACTTCTTAGCACCATTGCCAATGTTCGCGTGTTCCCTTTGAACTCCGTCAACGCCTTCGGTTCACCCCCCTCCGCTCTCTTCGCCGATCCCTTGAAGAGCTTCTTGTGCAGAGAGGTCAAGCCCGTGGTCCCTTTCCTCGCCGTCTTCTTCAAATCCTCAGCTATGAAATCCGCCGGAATTGCCAGCTTGTATTCGCCCTTCTTCTTCGCCGGCGCGGAGCTCGACCTGTGATCAACTAGCTTCTTCACCATTGAGCTGAAATTGGCGTTGTCCTTGCTCGGGGCCTTAGTGGGGACGATGGCGCGTGATGAATCACGAGAGGAGGGGCGGAGGAACTGGGACTTCGGGGCGACCTCCGTGGAAGAAGAGGGGTCGGATCTGGTGGAGGATCGGGATTCAAATGAAAAATTGGCGGTGGCATAGCGAGAAGATGGCTTGATTGAAGCCATTTTCTGGGGCGATAATGGAGCTCGAATGAAGATGCAATGGAGGAATTAAAGTTTGAAACTTGGGAGACAGATTGGAGTATTTGTAGGGTTATTTGTTCAGAAAGAGACTGTGTGTGTCTTTGTTGTCTGATGAGTGATGAGTATTCGGTGGAGACGAAGGCGATTTTTTTGGCGGACTACGAAATTCAAAATATTTCAGCCTTCCAAGGCGCTGATGCCCAGTTTGAAATTTTTTGTTCATGAAAATATATAGAAAATATTTTTTTTTTTCTAGCCATATAATTTGCATTTTAATGAATTTTAATTAAGATAAGGGAGGACTCTCTTGTGAGACGGAGACCGTGAGACGGGTCAAGTGTAAATGTAAATACAATATTTATCATGAATAGTGTAATGCTAAGTAGGGATAAATGATCCCTTCAAAAAAAAAAAATTGGGATAAATGATGTTATTTATGAGAAAAGTGAGATATTATTTTTTTAAAAAAAATGTACTCTATTTTTAAATCAAAATATAAAGGGTTGTTTACCAAATTGGAGAAATTGAGGATTTTCTGAAAAAATCGAGAAATGAAGAAGTGGAAAAATGAAAAAAAAAAAATGAAGAACTTATTTACTAAATTTATTTTTTCAATTTTATTCTCATCTCCATTCTTCCACTTTTTATATATGATTTTGGAGAATAAAATAAAAACATTCTCCAAATGGAGAGATGAAAATATGTGGGTGAATAGTGTAATTTTATGAGAGGTTAGTGGTTCGAATCCAGTTTATGTCCGTAAACTCACCACTTCATTTTCCTTCTTCGAAAAGGTTGAACCCCAACCCTAAAGGGCCCTCCACACCCCGACCCGACACCACTTCATTTTCATACATCAATGGATGGGAGAGATGGTATTTAATGGTTGTCCCTGACTCGAGGTGTTTTGTGAAATGGATACCGTTAAGTCTTCGTTTCCCCATCTTTTTGTTGCAGCAGCCTTCATTCTTATTCGGGGGTGTTACACTTTGAGACAAAATCGAGGCATTTATATGCCAATTGTGTGTTGGAATATCCCAGAAAAATACAAGGCCGCGACTTTGGTTCTAGTATTTTTTTTTTTTTACTATTATAAGGACGTAACCAGGGGAAACACAAACAATCAAAACTCAAAAGGTTGTAATTTATCTTAGTTGGGTCATTGTTTGAATAGCATTTAGTAAGGAGATTGATTACCTAAAATCGGTGTCGGGAGTCGATTAATTAGATAGACGACAACCTGAAATGCGTGAGACCAGTATGAAGATGGCAAAGAAGCAGCGTGCAGAAATGACATACCATTTTCGATGACATGCCTGTGTTGCCTTTCAGCCATGCCATTGTGCTCAGGTGTATGAGGAGGAGTTGTAAAATGTGAGATGCCATGAGCATTAAACAGTGGTATTAATTTAATAAATCCCCCCCCCCCCCCCCCCCTCCCCCCAATTGTTAGAATAAACTGAAACAATTGACAGACCAAAAAATTTCTCCACTAACCTTTTAAACTGAGGGAATATCACAAAAACATCAAACTTTCGTTTTAAGGGATATAGCCAGACGTATCTAGAAAAATGATCAACAAATATAACATAATAGACAAAGTCATCAACCGATTTTTTTGAAGTACCCTATACATCAGTGTAAATCAATTGTAGAAGCCTAGTACTAACAAGAGTGCTTTTTGAAAAAAGTAACTTATGATTTTTGTATACATTACACGACTGGCAAGAAAACTTACTTAATGATGACATAGATATAGGAATGTTGCAGTGTTGCAACACAAGATGCACCACCTTATTAGATGGGTGGCCAAGCCGGTGATGCCACTGAGACACACGTGACAAATGAATGGAGTTGACTGCGGGCTGACTTAGGAGTGGGCCATAGTAAACACCATTAATGTTCGCCCCCCATTGTAGTGACATCCTCATTTGAAGATCCTTCACAAGAAAGTGGGAATCAAAAAATTCAACCGACACTTGATTAGTTTTGCACAGCTAAGATATGGATACTAAATTATTATGCAACTGTGGCACACGCATGACATTTTGAAGAGTGAGCACGGAAGAGGGAGTGTGAATAGATGACTGACCAATATGAGAGATTTTTAAAAAATTACCGCTGCCCAGGCGTATTTCATCAGGACCCTTGTACTCAATAAAGGTCTAACGAGGAGTCATGTTGGGGGTGGCGTGGTCAGAAGCCCCGCTATCAAAAAACCATGGTGGAGTTGACGCTACGGTAGAATTAGCTGTAGGAGACTAATAAGACGAAGGTGTCTGCATGGGAAACATGTTATGTTCCTTTAATCGAGCTAACTTACGGCAAACACAGGTTTCATAGCCAGCAAAGTTACAAAACTGACACACAACACCAGGTCGGTTGTTGCCATTGTGTGACCAATTTTGTCTATTATTGTCGTAAGTGTTGTTGTTGTTATTGTTGTTGTTGTGGAACCTCCGATTGGTGGTAGACTGCTGATTATTTCGAGAAGCCGAATGACCACGTTTCCACGTTGGGTGGCATTAGTAGTAGCCAGTAGAGACTGGCGAGCATCATCAACTTCATTCAACTGACGTTCATGATCCGTCAGGACATCGGTTAATTCTCCCAAAGAAATGGGCTTGTCACGGATACGAACAACGGAGACGATAAAACTATACTCGTCTCCTAGTTGTGTTAAAATGTACACAACAACCATGTCGTCATCAGAAACATGGCATTGAGCCAGGGCGAGATCGTCGGCTATGGACCGCATGTCATTCAAAAATGTAGTAACTGATTAATTACCATTCGGGTTTCTGGTAAGCTTGGACTTGAGGAAAATGATCCGTCCTCGGGAGGCACTAGCATAGCTGGCAACGAGCAGTTGCCAGGCATCACAAGCTGTTGAGGCGGAGGCTATAAGGGGTTGGATGGTGTCTTAACAACTCTCAAGTAAAGCACTGGTGATTATCTAGTCTTGGCGATACCAAGTTAAATGTGCCAGGTTTGGAGTGGTTTGTGCAGTATCATTAAATTTGGCTGGTTCTTTGACAGAACCGTCGATATAGCCTAGGAGATTAAAGCCAATCAGGGTGGATTGAAATTGGCGTCTCCAAATAGGAAAGTTGATGGAGGTGAGTTTGATAGGGAAATTAGACGGGGCATTAAGCTGGACAATGTCATGGGTGGTTGTAGCCATGGATATAAAAACGACGAAAGGGAAAAAAAAAACTTCTTAGGAGATTATGGCTCTTGATAGCATGTGAGGCAATGAACTGTGCATTTATTGATATAAGCAACCAGCTATATATATATATATATATATATATATATATATATATATATATATATATATATATAGTATACATATGAAAGGAAATAGCAGGGAGTTGTAACAACTATTCAAACATAACTAATCTACAAGAGCATAAATAGAACAAATAATAACTAAATGTAATACTAGCCACATATAGGCTTAACATGAGAGAGAGAGAGCTAACGTTTGGAGCAAATTATTGTGTAGACCATGGTTCACACAATGTTATGTGAACCATAATAAAAAGTACATTTTTAATATACTAAATGTACATTATACAATATAGTGTACACTCAGAATAAAAATAATGTACATCCCCTTAATACAATGTACATTATTTGTATATTGAATGTACATTATTTTTGTATTAAATGTACATTATTTTACAGTAGACAAAATATGATCCACACAACTTGTGTAGACTATGGTCCACACAATAATGATTGAACGTTTGGTGAGGCTCAAGTTTCAAATTCTGAAGTGAAATTATTTTATCTATAATTAATATCAAAATGTGGCTAAAAAAAATAAATGGGCTGGCTTTTGGATATAGTTCTTGTTGGACCTTTGCCTAAATTGAAATTTTTGTAGTAAGAATATAATTTATCGGGCTGCTATCCGCAAATATGGACTGCTGAACGGCAATTTATATCCTACACCACGGCGTACATTGCACTATGCGCCCAGATGCAAAACGACGTCGTTTTAATTATTTTTTTTTTGAAATTTCCCGCCCCAGTGAATGGCAGTAGGTTTTTCTTTAAAAAAAAAACCCGTTGTTCAAGAATGTACATAATGTTATACTTGAATACACATAATGTTATACATGAATACACATAATGTTATAACAAAATATACATACTCTTTTTAAAAGATAATACACATAATCTAACATAATACATAATAAACATAAACTTTTAACATAATACACATCAACTCTTAACATAATACACACAAATTTTCTGATTCGGATGTACATAATTGTATAAAAACAATGTACATAATTGTATAAAAAATACACATAACTGTATGAACCAATACACATAACGTTGTGAACGAATACACATAACGTTGTGAACGAATACACATAATCTCAGCAACTTCCTACAGCGCCTCCCAACACGACCCCAAAACGACGTCGTTTTGGGAGGCGCGCGGCGCACAGTGCTATGTGCGCCGTGGTGTAGGATATAACGATTGCTGCTGAACAATTGTTAATTTCGAGACTTTATTTCCTTTACATTAGACGCGACAAGCAAGTCTTGAATGAACAATTTGTAAGCATTGAAATTTTAAATGGGCCAATTTGTGTGTTGTCAGGCCTTGAATCAAACATACCCTTGAATCAAACATACCCAATATTTTCTTAGAAGTTATGAGAAACAATCCTCTCCAATCCAAAGCTTCTTCCTTTCTTTGCTCTAACATCACTCTCTCCTCATTTGAGGAGTTCTCTTTGCAAAAACTTAATTTTATAACATTGAAGATGTCCTTAATTAAATAATAAAACTTTTATCACGTATCCTTATTTTATTGCATAAAACATGTAAAAATTGTGATTTTTTAAAAATCAATTAAAATATACTGCGTTATAAGAGAAAAATAAAATACGAGTTGATGTAATATTATTGATATATATGGATAATCAATAATGTATGATCCAGTACAGTAAAACACTAGAACTGTTGTTAATCTGGAGGGTGTGATTGAGTAGGAGGGACTCATTTATCTTTAACCAAAGGTCAAAGGTTCGAGTCTTGCCTTTAGAATAATAAAGCAATCTTAAATCTCCAGGTCAGCTGTCCCACCTAAAAGAGGTGCCTATAATTCAACGAGGGAATTAGTCATTGTGTCTAAAGGTGAAAACTCTGAGTAAAAAAAAAAAAA